CACAAACTCATTTGAAGGCCAGTGTGGTGTAGTGAGGGATTGCCCAGGGTTCAAAGGCCAGCTTGGCCATGATGCTCACCAGGTGATCTCTCAGTCACCATCTCTCAGACTAACCTATCCTGGAAGGTTGTTATGAGGAGAGAATGGGGAGGCAGAGAGCTTGCACCAACTGTAGGCTCCTTGGCAAAAAGGCAGGACAGAAATGTAATAAAATGAATGAATAAAAGAAATAGGAGTTGGGCAAGAAGAATGGTTTTAATTAGGCTGGCTCGGAAGCAATTATTGTGCTGCATATTCATTGGTGGGGCAAATTGTTTCTTTTGCCTTAGGGCACATATTTTATTGCAGCCCCAGAGAGGATATCCTGGGGCCAGTCTTCTAAGAATGCCATGTAACTCTCCTTCCCCCCATTACAGGCCTCTTCACACCAAGTTTCTTGCACTCATAAACCAAGTCTTTCTGGTGCTCCCTTTTGCTGACCGTCACTTGAGTCATTTTGGTTGCAACTTTAAACTCCGCCAGGCAGATGCAACAGCTGGAGTATTGCTTGCATGATCACCTTTCCAGGGATGAAGACAAGATGCGTCACTGTTGTTGCTGGAAAGTGCTGTTGCTTTCCCCATTCACTGCAATGTCTGCTGGGCAGCTCCAAATAGTTTTGGTGTGGAAGATCCAAATGCAAGTCCACATGCAGAATTATTACATGCCAGTTTGCGAGCCCCACAGTGGAGCACCTTTTTTGCATGCAGAAGGTCTCAGGTTCAGTCCCTGACATCTGTTGATAAAGGATCACGGAGCAGGTGACAGAGAGGACCAGTCACTGCTGGAGACTCTGGGGAGCACTTCTGGGTTTCCAGCCCTCCCATGAGAGGAATGTGTCATGTAACCATGATATTAATGCCCCTTGCTTCCCTGGATGGAGGTGTGCCTGTGGAAGACTCAGACTTTTGCACAGTTGGGGTGCAGCCTCCCGCACAAAGGTAAGAGCCACATCCCTTTCTCTCCTTCTCCTCTGCCTTTGGCCTTGCCCCCACTGGCATGCTTCTCTCAGGCTGAAAAAGCCCCCCCCCCATCCGCAGTGAGCTAAATGAACAATAGCCCATATGGAGGAGACAGCTTCCTGTGTCCCACGCAAGCCCCTTTGATCTGGAGGCAAATGGGTGTTGTGCAAGAGCACAGCCCAAATGACAGGAAGGCAGAGATAACAGGATTGCATGGATGGGGAAAGCCCAGGTGCAGGGAAAGAGGAGTCATCAGCTTATCTATTTAGGCAACTTGTATGCTGATTCAAATGCGGTTTCCAATAAAGGGATAAAACAGAATCAGCAGAGAAACACAACCTGGTGCCCTCCAGGTGGTTGGGCTACAGCTTCCATCAGCTCCCCCCAGTGTAGCTCTAGGATGCTGGGGCTGATGGAAACGCAGCCATGCAAGCTGGTGCTGTTGGGAGTTGGGAGTCCAATAGATTTAGAAAGTACTAGGCTGGGGAATCTGCCATAGGGCCACAACGTGTTCAATGAAGCCATAAAAGATAAGGGCACCCAGACAAAACAAATAGCCCTGTGCCAGAGATGGGCAGGAATCAACCTTCCCTACCCAACTGCTTTCTCTAGGAATGTCCCCCCACTACCACAAAAAAACAACAACAATTGTGCTTCAGGAAGAAGCCATCTATTGGCGCCCCAGCATTGCTGGTGGAAAATCCCTTCAGGTGCTCTGTTGGTGACCCATGAGGTAGGCTGTGTGCAAAGCTGAAGTTGGTTCAGCCCACCAGTCCTGCAGAACATCAGCAGGACCTCCCAGCTTCAGGTGTTTGCTTGTTAATTGCAATTACCTATTAGGATTGTTTATATGCTGCTCTTTATGCCTGAGTTCAGAATATTTGTGGGGGTTTCAATAAGCTACAACAGGTGACTTGTGAGATGATTCCTAGAAGTCTTTTCCTGCTTGGCTGTGCCTCTTCGGTGGCCTAACCTCAACCTGGTGCTGCCAGGTTTTTGGACTACAATCCCCATCGCTGTTGACAATTGACCATGCTGGCAAGGGATTGATGGGAGTTGTAGTCCAACCTGGAAGGCACCAGGTTGGAAAGGACTGATCCAGAGACAGTGGATCATATCCAACTAACTTTTACTAACCTAACTGTATATTAATTTCAATGGGTCTACTCTGTGTAGGATAAAACCAATTCATGTTAGAGAGCAGATGAACGAGGGACTGCTGTTTGTGGTGCGTATAGTCACCCCATTTTTGCCTCTAGTCATAATCATAGAATTATAATCATAGAATTGTAGAGTTGGAAGGGACCCAGAGGATCATCTAGTCTAACCCCCTGCAATGCAGGAATATGCAGCTGTCCCATACAGGGATTGAAGCTGCAACCTTGGCATTATCAGCACCATGCTCTGAAAAACCTGCAAGACCTTTTTGGTCAGATGGGACAAAAGATATGTGTGCACATCAGGACAAGTAAAACCTCTCACAAACCCCTTTTGATGGAACAATCTCCCCTCCCCTTACCCCACATGCTGTTGGGGGGTGGGTTCTCCTTACCTTGTCAGAGCCAAGTAGGAGACAAGGGTACCATGGCACGAGCAGGACTCATTACACTATTCATTTGGCTCCAGCTCACTGCCCGCATCCAGTGCCATTCATTCTCAGTGCCAAGAAACCCAATTCAAAAGTTACCTGTGCTCAATTCAAAAGTTACTAGGACAGGGACCTTGCTTAAGCCAGCTCTCTTGCCATGCCCTCTCCCACTTGCAATCTGGGGATATTTATTCAGACCTACTTTACAGAGTTGTTATAGGATTACCAAAGAACTTTGAATAATTTAAAGTGCATTGTTATTGTTGTCTTTATATTGCCTAAGAGAGCAGCTTCTGAGCCACATGAAATCCTGACTGGCCTTCAGGAGGGATAGAGCAGTGATGGGGAAGAGGGGTCTTGGCCCCGGGAGCCCAGAAGTGATTGGGAAACTGAGACAGAGGCTGAAGCTCAACAAGCAAAGGAGCTGGCTGTAAGCCTGATGCTCGTGATCAGCAGGTGACTGAGGAGGTTCCCCCCTTATTAGATCCCACAGCACCAAAGTTCATAGAGCCAGAGCCAGGAGGAATCTCATGGGTGCCTTCCTTCAAGCCAAGTACCCAAGGCCAACTGTGGAACTCATTCCCACTGGAGGCAGCAACAGCCACCAACTTGGATGGCTTCAAAAGAGGATGAGACAAATTCATAGGGGGCTAGCTATAGCTCCTGGCCACAATGGCTATGTTCTGTCTCTACAGTTAGAGGCAGCAATGCTTCTGAATACCAGTTGCTGGAAACCACAGGAGGGGAGAGGGCTCTTGTGCCTGGGTCTTGCTTGCTGGCTTCTCATGGGCATGTGGTTGGCCACTGCAAAAACAGGATGCTGGACTAGATGGGCTCTTCTGGTGTTCTTAAGTACCTACATCACCAGTCTTAACTCCCTGTTTCAAATTGCACTTCCATCAGTCATCTGAGTGGGCATGGATGTCTTCATCTGGTTCACCTGTTCAATTGGTCAAAGCTTGCAGGGGCTGGGTGGGGGATACACATCAAAGCACATTATTTCTTGAGAAACTCCCAGATAGATGTGAATTGTGGCTTACGTTCTTGTGTCCACATGGCTTCACAAACCAAACCACCAGATGCAGAACAAATGGGCGTGTGAACACAGCCCAGGAGGCAGAGGCTGGAAAAACATCAACCAACCCCAGTCTTGTTGGAGCAAACTGCGTGCTCAGGTCTTTGGGGTGATGTGACCACTGGCCCGATCTTTTTTTGCTGGGTTGCGGAGAAAGCAACGTCACTGTGATGGGAAGGCAAGTGGGATGGTGCTCCCTCCTCCTCCCAAATTACTTTTTTACTATGCTTTATTATTGTTTATATATTGCACATTTGTGAAGTTTGTGTATGCTTCCTATATCCAGTGTGTTTTTTTCTAAAAAAAATGTTTAGGAGTACTCTCATTTTGACTCAAGAAAACCACCCATTTCAAATGGGGTAAAAAAAAATACAGTAAATGGACAAAAGTACAAAGATTCACAAAATGTTTAGGGGTATGCGTCCCCCTGCATCCCCCCCCCAGAAAAAAGCACTGCCTATATCCTTAAGAAAAAGCATTTAAAAGTGGCAATTGCTTGTGAGCCCCTCGACCCGCCAACTTCCAGCACCCGCCAGGAACATTAGCCGGCACAGCATTTGGCCCTAGAGCCATTTCACACATGCACCCCTTAAACAGGCTTGTGGCCTTAATCCTGTATCTGAAACCCGCTCCTGCTGGAAGGAAACTCAGCCAGTAAAACGAATTCGCGGGGAAGGGAAGGAAAGGGAATAGGAAGGTAACATCCAGAAAGCATCTCTGCCCGGCAGAGGGCAGCGCTCAACAGGCGCGAATGTGCTTGAATAATCCGTGTGAATCCTTCCCCGGCGCCTGGACGCGGAGCATAATAGGCTCGGCTTTGTTTCGCGGCGAGTGAGCGCGGAATGGTGGCTCCGTGAGTTGTAAGCACCCAGGTAGACACGTGCACCTGCGAAATCAAGAGTCCCGGGCCGGGGGGGCTGGAGGGGGAGATGCTGGAGGGCCTCCCCAGGGCGCCTTCCTCGGCCGCGGAGGGGCGCGCTCCAGGGAGCCCGGCGCCTGGGGAGGGCGGCGGCCGAGCGACCCCGTCCCGCGGGAGCGAGGAGGGCGAGGGGTGGGGGGAGAGAGCGCGCGCCCTGGCCGCCCCCCGCTCCCGACTCCCGCCTGGCGGCTCCCGCCCCGGCCCTGACGTCAAGGAAGGAGGAGAGTGAAAGCAAAAGGGAGCGAAGGAAGGCGGGAGCGAGCGAGGGAGCCAGGAAAACACTCCCGCGCCAGCCGAGCAGGGCAGCAGCCGAGCGGGAGGAGCAGCCGGAGCAGCGCCGCCTTAGGAACGGCCGGAGGGTCGCCCGAAGTTCTGGGGTGGCCGCGGGGTGCGGGAGAAGCTGGGGCGCGCGCGGGAGCCTCTGTCCGGGCGCCGACTGTGGATCTACGCCTTTCCCATCTGGCGAAGCCGAGGAGGCGCAAGAGGACGGCGCGCGGGGCTGGCTGCCGGAGAGGTGAGCGCCGAGGAGCCCGCGGGTCTTCCCCGCCTTTGGCGCGCTTGGCTCCTCTCGGGCCGCCGCCGCTATTGTCTCGCCGCCGGGTCTACCTCTGTTTACCTTGCCGGGCGGGGTCCGGGGAAGGGGTCGCTCGAGGGGCGGACGCTGCGCGCAGGCGAGAGAAAGGAAGCAGAAAAGAAAGCGCCCCCATCTCCTCCCCGGGGCCAAAACGGCGTGTTGCGTGGCGGCGGCGGCGGCGAGGGGGGTCTGCCTTGCGAACGCCCAGCCCGGCCAACAGAGAGTTTCCTTGGGGAGACCCCCGTCAGATAACGCCACCCCCTTTGCCTATAATGCCTTGTGCACGCGCGGGGCCCCCTCTCCTTCGCCGGCGCTTCAGATCCTCCCATCCTCTGATTTCCCCACCATAACATCAACATTGCAGAGAAGCGCTTCTGGCGTGAAATTAATTTATTTGTCGGGGGGGGTGTGGAGGAGAGAAAGACGATTCCCTTTTAGAAACGGGCTCGGAGTGTGACGATATACCCCCCGCCCGTCCTTCCTTCCGTTGCTTTCTCCTGGGATCCAGTAGATCGCGCATTGGCCAAGGATGGGCTTGGCCAGCGCCTTTCTCTCCGGAGAGGGTTGGGGGTGTTGCTGTGTGTGTGTGTGTGTGTGTGTGTGTGTGAGTGTGAGTGAGAGAGAGAGAGAGAGATGATCTGCCTATTTGTTGCTGGCCCCGCATATTTTTTTGCAAACGACCAAGTGTTATCTGGAACGTGGGCGCGATCCTGTTGCACGTTCATTGAGGAGTAAGTGCCGCTGGCTGCAACAGTTCCCAGGGAAATATGCGCTGGATCGCTCTTCTCAAGAGCTTTTGCGGAGCACCTCTGCCCCACCTCAATTTCTCACAAGGGCTTCGTTTTCCTTTCTTCTTTCTCGTGCTAACGCAGGTTTAAAATGTTGTTTTAGGCTTGCTTCCCTCTTATGGGCCTGTTTTCTTTTTAAGCCAAAGAAAAAAAACAGCTGTGGAAAGTTTTCTGTTCGCCTCTCGCCTTCCTTCGCAACTCCCCCCCGCCCCCCGAGCGCGCTGGGGCGTGTGCCTGTGTTTGCTCCGGATCAAGTTTCTTCTGGTGACTTTTGGAGGAGCGCGTTACGAGATCTCCCCCCCCCTGCCCGGGGCATTCCCGCCCCCCCGCCCCTCTGCATCATTTGGTAGCCCGACCCTCCTGCCTGCCTGCATAGTTGTTGTTGTTGAGTCGTGTCCGCCTCTTCCTGACCCCCTGGACCAGAGCAGGCCAGGCACTCCTGTCTTCCACTGCCTGCCTGCATAGTTACTTAGGAGCAAGTTCCCCGGCCTTCCAAGCGAGGCATGCGCTCATCCTCTGCGCTCTTAGGCTCGCAGCCCGATCCCATTGGTGCTTCCCTGGGAGCAAATCCTGTTAAATTCAGTGGGGCTTGCTTCCAGGTAAGGGGAAGCCTTGACTCTTGGGTCGGATTGCAGCATTCGGCGGGCCTTGGCAGTCCTCCCCCAGGTGTGTGGAGCGGGGAAGGGTTGTCCCTAAGCCAGCTGTTCTGGCTTCTTGCTTGGGGCCCAAGAGTAGCTGCCCGGCCCAGGCAGAGAATCGTGAAAATTATTCTAGCAGATATTTGGCTAGTGATAGCACTACTCAACCTTTCCTATTCCTTTCCTTCACCACTAATATATATCTCACAATCTTAATCTAATATTTATTCCTGCTGCTGCAGTTTTTGGGTCTGTTGCCCTCCCCCACAGACAGGCTCTTCCCAAAAAAGGAAAGGGGAAAAAAGGAAAAGGAAAAAGAAGATGAAATACTGATGTCTCTCTTGTCAGCAAACATTTGAACCCTGCATGTCTGGGGCGGCCTCCCCACTTTTCAAACAGAGCAACACAAAAAAGTCCCTTCTGTGTATGTGTACACAACACCATCTGGGCTGCTTTTCTTTTCAGCCTCTATAGTCTCTTCCCCCTCCAGCTTTTAATGTTATTTTCTCTCTCTCTTTTCTCTCTTTTTCTCTTAAGTAATTTGAAAAACGCAAATAGATCCCTGGGGCTTGTTCACATCAGTACAAAGCATGGGAGGCAACAGCCGTTCAATGTAGCTTTTTATTTTAAATAAACACTCCAGTTCAAATCTGGCCAGATAGCCCCAGTCTCCCTTGCCGTTTCTCCACACCCACATATCCCATAGCCACACAGAATAGGGTTGCCAGCTGACCAGGAAAAGCGAACAAAAAGCCCCTTGCTAGGCTTGCTCTTGTGGCCTTAATAATAGCCTGATCTGCAGAAGCAGCAGGGAATGCTTTTCTGGGCATGGGGGTAAGTGTAATGGCCAGCTAATACCTGCCAGTGAAGGTGCAGAACAGCTGCTTTAGCAGGGCATAGGACCGCTGGACAGTTGGGAAGTAAGCAACTCTGCATGCCATAGAATCACAGAGGGATGGAGTGTGATGATGTATTTGATGGAAACACTTGATGTGGATTCTTTGCTCTGTAAAATGTGCTTTCCACACAAGCAGAGAAGGATCCCCCTTCTCAATGCCTCATTAAGCCAGATATAATTTGCTCTGTGTGTGTATCAGCCTTTGAAATTGTTGGCAGGTTCAAGGTTGAGAAAAAGGAAGGACTTATTTCCATGTGAAGTTATGAGCTTGTGGAATTCGCTGCCACAAGATGTGGTGATGGACTCTAGCAAGAAGGACCAGGCGCATTTGTGGAGGGGGGGGGGTGTCTGCCAGCAGCTCTGGGGCATGATAACCAAATGGATCCACCATGTTCAGAGGCAAGGTACCTCTGGGAGCAAACTAAAAGAAAGCCCCCCCCCCCCGTGCAGCCCTGCTTGTGAGTCTGCAGAGGTGGAAATAGTTGGCTGGGCTTCTCCATGGGACTCCGCTCCATTTAGCTGGGCTGCTCTTGGACTAATAGCTTTTGCTCAGAACCTGTTTGTTGTGTGTATGCCAGCTGGGTGTCAGTTTTCCCTCTCAATCCACTCTGGCTGAGGTTTCTAATTTGTGAGCTGATTTTTGGTGTGGAGGCGAGGAGTAATTGTCCCTCCTTCTTAATTAGCACAGGAGTAGCAGCATCTGCAAAGTAAGTTAGCAAAGGAAATGTGGGCAGTCTTTGCTTATTTATTCCTGCTTTCTCTTTTGCTACTCAAGTTCCCCAATTTTCTTCTCTTTCTAGACTCATTTTATTTGAGGGAACCTTCCTCACAGGATTACTGTAAGGATTCAATTCGTTTAGATCATCTTAGTAGGGTTCTGATAGTTACATGACTCTGGGTTGGGGGCTAATGACAGCCTCCCACGTTAACCCCCTGTCAACACCTTGCTGATGCTAAACTGAGGGTGTTGGTCTTTCACGAAACTGTTCTACCTCTACAAGTGTTTTGCAAGATGTAGACTGCTTAGGACTCGAATGAGATGAACCCCAGGTGAGTTTTCCTCTGCTGGAAAAAGCAAATTGGGTGCTAAGGAGGGACGCATCCTTCCCCAGCCTTTCCCGACCTGGTGCCCTACAGATGCTTTGGATGACAACTTCCCTCAGCCCCAGCCAGCACAGCTGATGAGAATTGTAGTCCAAAACATCTGGAGGGCACCTGGTTGTGGAAGGCTGCTTTCACCTGAGCTATGCCTTCTGCTTGGACACACAAAAGGGAGCGGATCCATATTGTCAAATCCCTCTCTTTCTTACAGAATTGGGGGCCAGTGGGATGACTATGTATTCCTTTCCAGCAGGGGGCACCCTCATGCCCTCCTCCTCCTCATCTTCCCAAAGGAGGGGAGTGGTCTCCCCCCCCCTTCTATTTTCTGTTCTGTAGGCAGGATCTGGGAATCTTCAACTCAGAAGCATTTTGGGCTTTGTGGGGGAGGGGTGAGAGGAGGCGGTAGTAAAGCTAGTTACTAAATGGCTCAGAGCCACAGATCCTCCTCCTTGATCTCTTGACGGCTCTTTTATCTCAGACTCTGTGGCTTTTGCCTCTGGGGTGGAGTCGGCTTCATGGCTTCCAGAGGACTGAAGTGGCTTTCAGAGGGGTACTAATTTAAACACACGCGACACTGTGTTAGCTTTTTGTGCCAACCAAGATCTTCCCAGCCAGGGCAGGAGGCGGCAAAGTGCATCTTTTGTTTTCTCTTGTTTCCTCTCCTCCTTTTGCCTGCTTTCCCCTGCCTGCTGCCAACACAGCATTTCGTCAGGGATTGCCTCTGATTTCTGCTGCTGGGTGGCTGCAGCATTTGGAGCTGGTGGCAAATGTCACCAGGGCAGTAGTGGGCAAATGCTTTCTGGGGAGGGTAGATTTGGGCATGAAACAAGACACACACACACCCCCCCAGTTAGACCTCCTTAACCCAAAGATGGACTCATTTTGAGGCCCCACAGATGTAGAGCTGTGCATACCCAAAGGTGTATCCAGTGTTAGTCCTACGCAGAGTAGACCCGTTTAAAATTAACACACATTACTCTGTTCAGTCCATTAATTTCAATAGGTTTGGTCTGACCAAAGCCTATTACTTTTTCTATTTATTACCTGCCCTTCAGGAACAGGCATGCTACATGGGAAATAACATCAGGGGATCAAAGCAAGTGAGTCAAGCTGTAATGTGCTGGCTGAGGCTGAAGGGAACTGTGGTCCAAACCAACTGGAAAGGCTGCCATAATGAATTGCCTGTGGAAATGTAGTTAGTTGTCCGGGGTCCTGCCCAGGCCCAGTCCGTGATATAAAAAGCCAGGCTGTTGGGACCTCCAAGTACTTCACTCTCCCAGTCTGGGGCCCGTTCCATTTCACAAGCGGCCTCCCTCCACGTGGTTCTTTGCTCATTTTCATGAGGGGTGGGGGCGACTGGAGGGGTGCAGGTGCTGCCTAGCAGGGCTTTTCCTCAGCCAGAACTCGCTAGAACTCAGTTCTGGCACCTCTCAGATGGGGGCACCATTGCCATTATATAAGAACAAGGGAGGTGTTCATAGTGAGTTCCATCACCTCTTTTTCTAGAAAAAGAGC